GGGGGGGGGGGCAGTTGCCCCCTACCCCCCGCTGCGTACGGCCCTGGTTACAATTGATCAAAATTTGTTAGGACATCGAAGCAATACTTGGCTACAAATGTCCACGCGGATTTGATTTTCATTGCAATAACATACATAAACAAATTATGATTATGAAAAGAACGAAACGAGTGATCGTATGGAACATTGCTATAGCGACCAGTTTCAACAGGTAATCTATGAGCTGAAATTCAAAGCTTTGTACCAGCTTGACGATGTTTAACATTGCTAGCTATAATTTCGGAAATATATGTTTCAAATTCAAAATTTATTTTGAATTTTTTTAATGTTCTTACTTGCCTTGATTTCTACCTTGTTGAATCTGGTCTTTCCAGTAATTTACATAGTACTCTTAAATACAATTTGTGCGGGGATATACAGAATAAGAATATTAAGAAATTACTTGCTAATATAATAGATTTTATTTATGTAATTTATATTTTATTTGCAGAAAAACAGCAACAGTACTATTTAATTAATTAGAGCAAAAACAACCGTTGTTTTAAGCATACATAACTTCAATATACAAACTAATGTTTTGGTAGACAAAAGATACTTCACTTAATATTGATTCGTTTGTTTTGGTCATAAACGCCAAGTAATGAAGTTAACTGCGGGGAAATTAATTGGGGGGGGGGGCTTGAACAACATTTTCTGGGTGGGGACATGCCCCCAGACCCCCATGGAAGTTTGCAGCGAGCTTAATTCATCTCAACACCAGCCCCCCCCCCCACCCCACCCCCAATCGTAAAATCGCTGCGCTGTCCCTGAACTTTGGTGTTGAATACTTTTAAATTTTATATGCTAATTCGTTTGTAAAATCAAATCTTACAGACATGTTATTATAATAAAGAATATTTATATTCCTGCAGTATCACATAAAAAAGTACAGTTAAGCTCTTCTCCAAAATCCTTAGTTATTCATCAATAAGAGTCGGAATTCTATACCGAAAAAAAAGTAAATTTTGAGATATATATATATATATATAACCCAGTTTCTTGAAAGGACATTGGCAATAAAAAAATAGTTTAGTTCAATTGAAAAAGCTCGTAAAACTATATATTAAACTCTATTACAGACGGCGGACAGCTCATTAATTTCGATCTAAATATTTGGAGAACAAAGCAAGATATGACAAATCGGTAATAGAGTTTAATATATAATTTTAAGAGTTCTTTTGAATGGGACAAAGTATTTTTTTATTGTCAATGTCCTTTGAAGTATTTTTTTATTGTCAATGCCCTTTTTAGTTTGAAAGGATTTCAAGTGACAAATCGTAGTTATACAGTTTATTCTAACTCATTAATAACTTCGTTTGCTTGTGTAACAGATTAGTAACATTTACTTTTTGGTTTTGCAAGAATGGGTGGAGAAATTATTCAAATTAACACTGGGAAAAAATAATTAAATCCATACTATAGAATTTGCTACTAAATCCATAGTATATCCATACCAGCCTAGACCTAGGCCTTCTATTTTTATTATTTTTTAATATTTAGCGCTTTTTCACGTGAAAAGACTGGGACTAGGTGATTTGGGGGCGGGGCGGAGGATGACGCAAGCGAAAAAATAGAAGGCCTAGTGGATTTCCCAACAACAAGGCCAAAACTGCCCTGAAACTGCCCTGGTTGCGAAATGCCCAATTATTGCGTTCTCAAACAGAATTATTTGCAACTTAACAGCGAATTTAAACCGATACAGGTAAAACAAACTCATTTATAGTATAAACGTACTATTTTTATTTGTATACACGCCTAGAAAATCGGGGGTTTTTATCATAAAGTTTGAAGCTCACTATTATTATGTTGCGAAAGGTCAAAATGAGTCAAAATATTACTACAAAATAGAACTTAGTTTAGTCATAAAATGTTTTTATAGTTAATGTAATAACTATACTGGACAGTATAAATTGCTTTAGTTGTTGGTTTCTGATCAATTTCGGATCACAAAGTTATGGGGCTAATTTGAGAACTTGTGAAATCTACTAGGCCTTTACGAGGCAAATGACCATTGCGATAATCACCAGCCGAGTTTAGGCCTAGGTCTAGGCTGTATCCATACTATTTCCTTACTATATCCTTAATATGAAATTGCAATTGGTATGAGAATTGGATTTCCCTACTATTTCCAGAAAAATGGCTTGCGCACGAGATTTAAAAGCTTTAATCGTATTTTGAGTTAATGGGTGAAAAATGTGTTGGGTGTTTAATTGCTGCACGAAATTTCAGACAATTTGCTTCAGTTTAAGCCTCTTTAACTATTCACGCAAACTTACATTTTTTCCTAAAAAAATCAGCTTTTTGCATGCTTAATTATGCCACAGAGTAGAGACATACAGAGACGTAACTGACCGTCGTAAACACTGCGGAAGATTACGTTATCATGTACCCACTTTTTTTCAGGCGACCGGGCGAAAAATGATCAACTGCGCGTGCTCAGCAAGTTTAAAGTGAGTCGTCATCAGATCGTTATCCAATCAGATGCATGCATCTAGTAACTTGCCGAGCATGCGCACAAAAAAAGTGGGTACACTAGTTACGTCTCTGTATGTCTCTACTCTGTAATTATGCCTTTGCCTAATTGGCATATTGCAGCAATATGTTGCATTTGCCTAATTTGCATATTGCAGCAATATGCAAAGTAGGTAAAGGCATTAATTAAGCATGCAAAAGGCTGATTTTTTAGGAAGAAATGAATAGTTAAAGGGCTTAAATTAAATTAAAGCGAGTTGTCTGAAATTTTGTACAGTAATTAAAAACCCAACAAATTTTCCATCCATTAACTTAAAATACGATTAAAGCTTTTAAATATTGTGCGCAAGCCATTTTTAGTTTGTTGGAAAAGAAACACCCCCCCCCCTGGTTTACAAAATTTGAGTTCGAGTATTTTTTCTCATTATTCTACATTATGGGTATAGTCAAGGAATCTATACAACAAAAACTTGATACCACGAGCTGTTTTGCGAAATTGAGAGCAACTTCAAATCTGTTCAGTTTTTTTATACACCCTGAATATGGATTCGTATCCAGGCACTCTCGGTTTGAAAGTAGGAAATGATGTCCGCGCAGTAGACAGCTATATTGACAGTTGGGAACTGATAGAGTTATCCAGCATAAAGAAAGATAGTGTGCGTTTACATTATCACTGATAAATGTAATAAAATATTCACCTTTGAAGTCGATCTGTCCATCTCCATTCAAATCTGCTTCTCTCATCATATCATCCAGTTCATCATCGGTCAGTCGTTCACCAAGTTGTCCCATCATCCTTCGCAATTCCTTCATTGATATTCGGCCATTTCCTCCCTTATCAAAACGTCGGAACGTTTCCTGAATTTCACTTTCTAAATCGTGAGCTGGTCTACGGTTTTCCATAATCCTCAGAAATTGATTGAAACTTATAAGATTTTTATCTGTGATGGGATAAAAACATACTAGTTAAAGCCTGGCGCACACGATGCGATTTTAGTCGGCCGATAAAAATCGTTTGACTAAAAGTAACAAAATCGTTGTGTGTGCGGTGTCATTTTTAACCGATTTTTGTTTCTCGATTTTAATCGGACAACATCAAAACGCTTTGATATTATACGATTTTTATCGGTGGTATTTTAAGTATAACCAATCAGATTTCATGCTGTGATCACTGAAATTCAATTTTAATTTCAATTTTTTTGCAATTCAGGTCTGTATCTTGGATTATTCAAGATTCAGGTATAACAACGTTTCGAATTCAGGGAATTAATGGACAACTTGCATGTTAGACTAAATTTTAATCTAAGTAAAGAGAAGGGAATCAAACACAACAGTTAAAAAGAACGTAGTGAAATTCGTAAAATTGCAAAATTTGGTTGCGAAATGTTGTAAAATACAGAAAATATAGCCTTGCGAAGTTTGCATATTTTCAGTATATTTGTATTACGTGCGGAATTGTTACCATTTTCGGCTCAAAAATGGTAACAATTTCCGCACGTATATACAGACATACTGAAAATATGCAAACTTCGCAAGGCTATATTTTCTGTATTTTACAACATTTCGTAACCAAATTTTGCATTTTTATACTGATTTTGATAAGTTCTTTACGGGAATTTACTTTTTTTTTTGTCTAAATCCAAAATTAGTCTAAAGGCCTGTTTAACATTGTTGGACCAACATCATCCAACAATGTTACTATAATAGATATGACTGCTTCTCTTTCAAATCTTTTTGGTTAGATAAGCTTTACTCAAACTCCAAACCTAGTCTTGACAAAAATATTTGAAAAAGAAGCCGTTTGGGCCATTATTTCAACAATGTTGGATGATGTTGGCCCAACAATATTGGATCCGTTTAAACAGGATTTTAAAGCCATCATATTTTTCAGGAGAGATTTAAATCTGTCCCATTTCTTAGTGCTGTTTTACTCAGTGTTTTTCATAGGTCAGCGTTCAATTTGCCACGCAAGCCTTCAGTCGAAATGTATTCCAGATAGTCACAGCCAGTATGGCTCTATGGTCATTGCTTTATTTATGCATAGCAGATGCTTTACCAGTCTGCTTTTGAGATCAGCGATAGCAATTCAGTCTACGAATATATAATTATTTACCTTCGCTTGCTTGCGTAATGATAGCATGAAGTTCCTCGTCAGTACAGCTCTGGCCCACAGTCTTGAGCAATGCACCAATGTCATTTGCTGCCACTTTGCCTGGCTTGCTTTTTATAAACAGGCTAAAAGCTTCTCGCAAATCTGTAAAATATATCATTGTTATGTCACTTTAATGTTTGTCTCGCTTGAAAGAACTTTTAAAGTGACATATGAATTGAAGACCAAAGCTCCAAATAACTGAAATTTGTGTAAATATACATCAATTAAGTTCGACTTATGTTCAACGTTCGAATAAACTTTCGAATAATGGCGAACTTTGCCGAACGTGATGTGGACTTAAAAATCAATGCTTCCTGACGTTGCTGTTTGCGTTTGAGAGCTGTTACTCCGCCATATCTTTTAATTTGGATTGTACTTATATTTTATTTTTGGCTTGCTAATAAGCTGAAATTGCTGCAAATTTTGGCGTTTTGAACTCGTGATATTTATGGCATACATTTGGTTTTCATTTTTGTTCGTTTATAGTCTGTTTGATTTTGTATGTATTTTAACTTTGGCCTAAAGTTTGGATCAAAGTTTTAAGAGTGTGCGTGAGAACTTGTCAATCATGCATGCATGCATGCACCAGTAATCACGCGACCTTGACTTGCAATAGCTGTGCTGTTCTAATTATGTACTATTACACTGTTATGTACTTTATAAGTTTGAACGTAAAGTTGGAACACTTATCAAACCTTTATTTTGTTAATCTAGAGCGTGTTCCCTGTGACAATGGACCATTTGCATTATAGACTAAATTTTGATCTAGACAAAAATTTCATCACAGCTTGAAAGAGCATCACAAAATTAGTAATATTCCAAACTTTCGTTGCGAAATGTTGTAAAATGCGGATAATATATAGCCTTGTGAAGTTTGCCGTTTTTCAGTCATTTTGTATTACAAACGGGAAATTGATGTCCCAACACCCGATTGGGCTGTCAATTTCCCGTGCGTCATACAAAATGACTGAAAAACGGCAAACTTCGCAAGGCTATATTATCCGCATTTTACAACATTTCGCAACGAGATTTTGGAATATTACTAATTTTATGATGCTCTTTCAAGCTGTGATGAAGTTTTTGTCTAGATCAAAATTTAGTCTAATGCAAATGGTCCATTCGTGACTGTCAACTCTCAACAATTCTCGTTTAAACTCGGGGCTTGAATTGGCGTAGAATATTCACCCGTTCCACCTGATTAGTGTCAATATTAAACGCGTATAGAGTACATGTTCTCGCTTGAAAGAACTTTTCAAATGAATTATGAAGACCCACACTAATGGCTAAAAGGGACGAGAGGTTTTCAGGATAGTTTAATATTTAAACTCAGGCTTCTCTTGAGTTTAGTACTATTAGGATTAAGGCCCTGTTACACGGTGCAATTTTTCATGCAACTTGTCTCGCAATGGCGTTGCGAGACAAGTTGCACGAGTCATTGCACCATTTAACATGCCTTGCAATGGTCAAACTCGTTGCGAGACAAGTTGCATGAAGCATTGCAGAGAGTAGAAGTCGGTTCTACTTTTGGCAACGATTGCACTAATTATTTTAAGCGTTGCAGCGTGTAACATGGCTTCGTGCAACCTGTCTCGCAATGTTTATAGCTTGGAGAGTTCCTATTGGCTCTCTCCAGTACACGCTTTATTTTAATTAAAATTTGGCGCCAAATAGCGCCTCTCCCTAGTCTCTTCGCATGCCTCTGTCCCCTATCGTTGCGAGTTGCATGAAAATCATTGCAGCGTGTAACACCTCTTGCAATGCATTATCAAAATCTTTTTATAAACATTGCGAGACAAGTTGCATGAAAAATTGCACCGTGTAACAGGGCCTTTAATGTTAGCGTTAGATTTGGTGGTTGGGTTAGGCTTAGAGTAAGGTTTAGGCAAGGGATGCCGGAACGACAAAAGGGGTAATCTCTCCAGGGGTAATCTCTCTGGGAGTAATCTCTCTGCGTAATCTCTCAGAAAATTTTATTTTGGGGATAATCGCTCTGAAAATGTTTATATTTGTGCAGTTCGATGATTGCATTTCTGACATTTTCTAATTCCTTCATGAAGACAGGCCGGTAGCGAGGCGGGGGTGGCTATAGAGGTTGTAACATCCCCTCCCAACTTTCAGGTCTAACCAAGGGGGTTACCAGAACACCAATCTATTCGATAGTACTGCTCAATATACCAGCATTTAATTATAAGCCATGTCTGTCAACTTGAGGACTTAATCTCCGGTAAATGTGAGATACGTTATACCCATATTTAACAACATACTGTATACCAAAAGTAAAATGGCCTGAAACCCCTAGCTGGCTTGATCTGAACTCTGAATGTTCAGAAAAATAGGTATAATTTGAGTTGTAATTATATACTATTTTTGGCTTGATAATGAGCCAAGGATAACACTCCTCCTATAATTAAGGCTCTCATTAAACTCTCACTTGCTGAAAACCTTGGCGTTTTGAAATCATGACATTTATGGCATACATTTGGTTTTCATTTTTGTTCGATTATATTCTGTTTGATTTTGTACGTATTTTAACTTTGGCCTAAAGTTTGAATCAAAGTTTTAAGAGTGTGCATGAGAACTGTCAATCATGCATGCATGCATGCACCAGTAATCACGCGACCTTGATTGGCAATAGCTGTGCTGTTCTTAATCTTTCCCAACACTATTATGTACTTTGTTTAAGTTTGAACGTATAGTTGGAACACTTATCAAACCTTTATTTTGTTAATCTAGAGCTTAAAGTGTTCCCTGTGACAATGCGTGACTGTCAACTCTAATCAATTCTCTTTAAACTCGGGGCTTAAATTGCGTAAAATTTTCATCCGTTCCACCTGATCAGTCCAAAACACTTAAGGTGGAGTTACACGAGCAACAAAATTGCTGCAACTTGCAACAAAATCTGATTTCAACGCATGTTAATTGAAAATGTTTACACATAAATTACAAATCACAAGGCAACATGTGTCGATATTGCTATACTTAACATGCGTTGAAATCAGATTTTGTTGCAAGTTGCAGCAATTTTGTTGCTCGTGTAACTCCAGCTTTAGTCTTAGGCACGTATAGCGTTCATATTCTGGCTGCATGCATTCTAGATAGTAACTGTCGCGAACGTGTCGTGAAGTGTTTGTCGTGAATGATTTTTATGCTGGTTTCCATATGGTCAGTAACTGCCGTGACACTGTCGCAAGTTAATTTCGTATCCATGGATCGTTCAAACAGCTGGCGCTCCGAGTAGTGTGAACGCAACGACTAATTGTGACTTTCCTGCGTCGTTTTCAAACCTCTTCGGTCTTATGTGAACGTTTAGTCTTAAAAACTAGAGCTTTTAACAGTTCTTTAAAACTGAATTTTGTATCTGTGATTATATAGTACACATTGACATTGTCTCACCAGACAAAATAAACCAGTTGTATTAATTATGTGAGGCCTTTTTCACACTGAGATCGATTCAAAGGCCTTGTTCACACTTACGCTTGCCGCCAATTTTGAAATTGCGGGAAAATTTAAGTGGCCGACGGTGGTGTTATCAAAGTTGTTTCGTCAAGACGTAGGAAGATTCGTCGAATCTTTATGCTTTTTGTATTGAGCTTTCAAGTGTTTATATTTAGTTTTGCATTGCTTCCTGCTGCTGTCGGCACTTCTGCTTCTTTAATCATTCTGTTATATACAATTGGTATTCATTTGAGTTTCTATGACATCCCGTGCATTTATTAACGCAATTGTTTCCTCTTCCGTCCCAATATCTCCGCGGCTGGCAGACATTTCGCATAAAAACGGCGGCAGATCTGAACGCGCAAGACGATATTGCGATTGGTAACCAGAGTTTCAGTTCGCTTTGAGTTCGCCTTTCCGTTCACGTTCCGCGCGGATTACGTTTAGTTGGGTCGATCCCAGACCACCTCCAGAAGTAGACTCGTTTAGCCCATAGCCTATCGAAGGGAAGATGGTTATGAAACTTGTTAGAATAACAATATAACTCATTGTCTATGTTATTTACTGCTCTAGAACATTTGGAATACTGTTTTGGAACGATATGAAATAGTGTGCACGGTGTTCTGAAACAGTGTTTAGTTGATTATATATATATATGCGTGCAACCATGCATTACTATATCAACCGTGCATTACTTTTGAGTACATGTCATAAGAGTCCTACAGTCCTTTTATCGTCCTATTTCATTATAGCGTTCGGGGACGTAGCGACTGATAGTGTTTGAAACTTAGTGTGTTTTTTCACAAGTAAATTGATTTCGAGTATCAGGTGTTTCCTTAGAGAAAATGTATTAGCACAATGGGATACATATGCCGGCTAAATCTACTAGAGATGTTCGGGGGAATGCTCCCTGAGAAAAGTTTGAATATTTAAACCTTCAGAGAGGCCAGAAATCAACCATTTAAAGCTTAGCTCTCAGCTGCAGCATAAAACTTCCCAAAGGAATAAAACGTCTCAAACAATATCAACTACGTAAACAACTACGGCGTACTAGAACACTCAAGGAATACAATTTATAGTCGCCTTTTCTTAAAAATGCTATTGTCGATGAGCACGCCTTCGTGTTGATGTTGTGTTTGCCAAACTAAGGACATTTAGCTACGAAGACGACGACGCATGTTAATGCAATGAAATTTATGATGTGCTACAAAAGAAATAAATAATTTTGGCTATTTTTATGTTCTAGACAATAAAATCATAAATCTAACCCACATCCATCCCTATCCTGGGATCTTTATCTTAACCAAAAACCACCAACTTCCAGACTCTCTGGGTTGGTGGTTGAGTTTTGGAATTTTGACTTTTGGTTAGGATAAAGACCCCAGGTGGGGGTTGGAAGTGGGTTAGGTTATGATTTTATTGCCTAAAACAGCATCAAAATAGCCAAAATCCATCGTTACCTCATCAGATGCAGGCATAAGCGTAAGCAAGAAATATGCAAGATAATAGAAGAAATAAAGAAAGAAATATGTACAAGATTAATAGTCGGAAATGGAGAAGTATGTAAGGGAAAATTTTTTCAGACACCCCCTCCCCCCGTCCGACAAGAATTTTGTGAATTTTACACGGAAAATGTTTTCATATAAAGTCGGGCAAAATGGGCAAATTTCTTTCTGCCCCCACTAATTTTTTCGCTCCCGTATGCCCATGTGTGCATGTTA